AGTCATATCCACTGTCAAATTATTAGTGCTTAAACCATTTCTTACTACTTCTACCCATGTCCTTTCTGGTCTACCCTGAGCTCTTCTAGCTCCTTCGATGTGTAACAAATCACTTCTTCTAACTGGTGCAATTGGGGGTCTTCTATGGACGTGCTCAAACCATCTTAATCTACTCTCTCTCTCTCTCTCTCTCTCTCTCTCATTTTATCACTTATTGGAGCTACTCCTAAGTTCCTACAGATAACATCATTGCTAATCTTTTGATAGGTAACAGTAATTTTATTAATTAGAATAAAAACACAGTATACATTATACAACTCCCCACAAAGAGGCGTGAGGTGCAGCCTCTAAACTACAACATAAAGCTTACAAGTGAGCCCAAAACAGCTAATTCCTATGTGCTCCTTGTTTGGCTAGGAAATCTGCCAGCCCTTTTGCCGATCTTCTTTCCCATTAAACTGTGACGGAGATATTTGACATTAGCCACTTAAATCTTCTCAATGCCCCCCTGTAGGGCCAGGCTGCCATCTCCAGCTTTTTTGGCCATCCAATAACCAATTTGGAGTCACCTTCAATCATTAAATGCTCCACTTCCAACTCTTTTGCAATTTCTGATCCTTGTAGTGCAGTTTGGAATTCTGCATTAACTGAATCTCTCATCCCTATAGGACCGGAAAATAGATCTACAATCTGGCCTGCAGCATTTCTGAAGACTCCCCTTTTCCAGATGGTCCCAGGTTACCCAAACTGCTGCCATCAAAATTTAATTTAATCACACCTACATCAAGAGGCTTCCATTCCACCAAAGGATTGCTTCTGTCTTCAGAACTTTTGGCTACATGTGCCTAATTCCTCCTTATACCATCAAAAAAGTAGGGTGAGAACAGGTCCAAGGATTTTACCCAGCTTATGGCCCTACATAAAATACTTTCCAGCATACAAGTCTGATCCCTCTCCCTCTCCTTATCATTAAAAAATCTGACATTTTGTTTCTCTAAAACATTCCTCACCAAAGTAGTTCTAGCACATCTTCACAAGACTCTTCCTCTTCTCTTTGGCCACCTGAAAGTTGTAGGGTCAAAAAGACTGCAAATCTGCTCCGGTTCTGTCCACCTACACCCCAAAAGACCAAAAAGCTTCTCCCATAGGCCTACAACAAAGGGGCAAGTGATTGGTATATGGTAATAACTTTCTTCAATTGCTTTGCATAGGGTACACCAGTTAGGAGAGATACAAAGACCAGTCTTCTTTTTTGCAAAACATCCAAGATGTTTATTGTAATCATTCATGGAGAGAGAGAGACGAGAGAGAGAAAGAGAAGAAGAGGAAGATATGATTGAGAGAAAAAGAAAATCCCTATTCTGGCTGCCGCCAGTTCATTATTTATATTAACTTAATATAAAAAGAATGGAATTACAAGTATGCCCCTGGTGGCACTCCCTAGAAACAAACTAATAAGAAAGAAAGAAAATAACTAACTGACAGCATCTTAAGAGGACAACCCACTAACAGCAACTATAAAATAACAATTAAATAATCCTCACAACACTCCCCCTCAAGTTGGGCTGAATATGTCTATCATGCCCAACTTGTCACATAACTCATTGTGCCGCGAGTATGGAAGCCCTTTTGTGAGAACATCAGCGAGTTGTTCCTTGGAGTTGACATAAGGRATGTAGATTTCCCTTTTTTCCAATTTTTCCCTTACGAAGTGTTTGTCCACCTCAATGTCCACCTCCCCTAGAAGATTTTTTAGCCAAAGGACTTCAGCCGCCCCATGTGCCATAGCTCTATATTCAGCTTCAACACTTGACCTTGCTACCACACTTTGCTTCTTGCTTTTCCGGGTCACTAGGTTTCCTCCCACAAATGTGCAATACCCACTTGTGGACTTTCTGTCATCCACAGCACCTGCCCAATCAGCATCTGTAAAGACTTCCA